TCTGTACAATGAGAGTATTTTGGGGGGGGAAAGGAAGGAAAATGAAAGAATAAAATTCAGTTACATAGTGAACTGCTAATAATATATAGTTCAAACTAATTTATACATATGCTCTGTAAAGATAGTCATAAAGAATATTACTGAGGATACAATTTCTCTGTAAAGATCTCACACCAAACACTTTATAATTGGTGTTCAGAACCTGAGTGATCTGATTGGGTAATGTAACTGTGTACAAGTCATGCTTTACCAATGCACATCAAAAGAGGTAATGTAATATTTTAAAGTCTTGGGCTCTATAGCAAAAGAGATTGATACAAGACAGTAAATAAGTCATATTTCTCAAGTGGCTGAAGGCCATATGTTTCAATCTTGCCCTCAAGTATACTTGATTGATAAGACTGAATTGTGTGCCTTCTTTCAAATACATATTTCCATTCTTGGTAAGAACAGAAATATTTATTGCAAACTCAGTATTTACTGAGCACAATATTTCTATTAGGAGAAATTACATTAGTGGAGGAAAATGGTGGCATTCACATCAATGTTCAGCATAACTTGTACATATTTAGGGCCAGATTCTGTTCTTGGTTACTTCGATATAAATCTGTTCTTGGTTACTTCAATATAAAGGAAGTGGAATTACTCTGGATTTACACTGATGTAAACGAATGAAATGTGGTTCCAGCGGACTGCCAAACACAGTGACCAAGGTTTTTTTAAAAAAATGCATCCCTAGAATTAAGCTCTTAAGACCACGAGAACTGTTGTGTGCTCAGCACATTTGAAAAAAATCAAATCATTTATTGGGCCAAACTTCTTTGTCTTGTTAAAGAGATTTAAGAGGAGATTTCAGTATCTCTGCTAATTCTGAGTCATCATTAATTCAACCGCTGTCATTTATTAATGGAACTACTCTCTAATAACTTTCCCCCCTCCAATATATTTAATAAAGTTCTTCTTATTCTCTATTTGGCTAGTATTAACTCATTCTATGTTTTTTGCCACCCCGATCTTTTGCCTGCATTCCTTAAACACAGCGTGAATATTCTTCTTTGTCTGCCTTCTTCCTTTTCCATTTGCAGTACAATTTTCTTTGAGCAGTCCCTAGTGTCACCTCATCGGTTGCCTCTTGTTCCTGTATTCTTCCTTTACCGAAGAAGCACAGTGCATTATGCCTTAATTATGGCATCTTTTAGGATGCTTATCAAAGAAAAGGCATCTTACATTTTTATTCTTATAGCACCTAATCTGTATTCTGTTCAGGCAAATTGCTTTGAAATGCATGAAGTAAACATACAGTACTTTAAATATTTTTATTTAGTCTTTACAGGATGTTTTGTAACTGAGTAAAATGTTTGGCATATACTCAATATCCTGAAATTTTAAAAATTCACAAAGTCCTGAACATCTTAGTATTTATATATGTTTTCAATATTAAAAAGAAAAATAATGCAAAAGAACTTTCACTACTTAAAAAACAGACTATTTAACAATTAATTATTTCATGTGTGTTAAAACAAAAAGAGCAGTAGGTAAAAGTCAGATAATGTATGTCACTGCACCTACCATAACAGTGCTATAGTTTCTGGTTTTACACTGGTGTAAAATGTGAGTAACTCCAATTGTCAGCTAAGTGTGACCAGAATCAGGCCCCAATTTGTGCCATTAAGACAGAGCCCATAAGATATGCTGTGGAGCTGCATCAGGTCAAGGAGAGCACTAAGGAGGCATTTTTCACAACTCCAAGATATGCTCTGGCAGTACCCCTGCTACTATATTCCTTTAGGGCTTGGAGGCGTGAAGTTACACTCCCACCAGCAGGGGCAAGTTGTAAGGTGGAGCAGTGTCCTGCTTCCTTCCCTCCCCATCTCCTTTGGGGTGCTGGGCATTGCTAGGGGAATAAGGAGATAGCAGCCTCTGCTCTCCCCTGTAGGTATGGGGTGCAGTTCTGCATGATACACCTGGCTTAAGAATGAAAACAAACTTTCAAAGGGGTCAGAATGGACTGGTATTATCCTCCCCCCTTCTACTTTTTCTCAGAAATATTTTTTGAAATTAATTAACAAAATCCCACTATTAGGGAAAAGATTAAGAATATTTATTAAAATGTTCATAATTTCAATTGTAAAAGTCAAAGAATGAAAAGTTTCACGCAAAAATTCATTTACAAATGGCCATTTTTACACAAAAAGTTCAGTTGAAAACATTTCAACCAGCTTGCTAGCCCTACACAGGCAGCATACGAGCATAGTGGTAGAAAGCACCTCACAGAGCCCACATTAGGGTCAGGCAGAATTGCAATTCCTCCCCCTCACTTCTACCCCCCCCCCCCCAAAAAAAAACTCTGCATAAATATCTACAGACCAGGCAGAAGATGGCCCTCAAAGGTTGCATAGCGGAAAGGAACCTCTACAATTGCTGGCCCACAGACGCTCGACTGAATTTCCTTAGGCAGCTTCTCTCAGTTCTACAGGGATATTACCCCTTCCCCAGCAGTGAGAGAACATAAAGTCAGGTATTCTGTAGCCACCCCTCCAAGGGAGAAACGGTTGAATGAAGTCCTGGTCCCCTTGCCAAAAACTCTCATTGGCTTTAACAGGATCAGGATTTCACTCATTAACTCTGCCAGATCAATGGTTATAAGTAGCAACTGTGCTCAAGACTGACTCTGAAGGAAACATTCTATGCAGTGCTGTTGTTGCTGCCATGTTGGACCCAAGATATTACAGAGAGATCTGTGAGGTAATATTTTATTGGACCGTCTGTTGGTGAGAGAGAGATAAGCTTTTGAACTTACACAGAGCTCTTCTGTTTCTGAAGGACATGTTGATCTTGCTTAGTGACTCTCCCAGTGTTCAAACATGAGGGCACATTCTTCCCTAGCTGATTCTCAACTAGGGAAGGCCTTCAGAGTGGCCATAGGTCAAAATTATTGGATCTCCATTTTGGAGATCAGCCAGGCAGAAAAATAAAAGGGACTAACCATTGCCATATATGTTTATTTCAATGTGTGATCATTTAAATAAATATAGGTACAGAACTCCAGGTATTTGCATACTAGCAAACATCTTGCTTTGTGCACTGAAGTCATTAGATATTAAACCACACACTAACACACGCATGTGCATAGGAGCTTTTATTTCTATGTGTAATCTTTGTTTTTTCTTTTTTAAAAAAGCCCAAGGAAATTCAGTCTAAAATTACAATATGCAGAAATCAAGGAATTCATTTATGGTACACAGAACCATAATTTAGATACCGAGGTTTATGGTGTAAGTACTTATATATACGTACAGAAAGGGACTCATTAGAATTGTGAAAATCATAGCTTTGAACGCACTGGGACAGAACCTTTGCTTTGACTCTGATTTTCTGATATGCCAACACAAAGCAACTGGAAAGCCCATAGATCTGGACTCTTGAGAATTCATGGATGGTATGGGGCCATAGCACCTCTCCACCCAACCCTCCATGCAGGTGGTATGTCTAGGAGAAAGAGGCCTGACCAGGGACCTCCTGCACTCTGGCTATCCCAATTAGTCCCTGATTGTCAAAATGTTGCCTTGGAGTTATTGGCAGCTGGGTGCAAGTTGGAGCAGCCCTGAGGCTTCTCAGTCACGCTGGGGACAAAGCACCCGCCCTTACTTCCCACTGCCAGTTATTGTAGTTTTACAATTAACTATTTTTTCTAATTTAAAAAAATACCTTCATGTGAAAAATGCCAACAAAGGAAATTGTCTATAGTGATTCAGTGACAGACTGTGCACTAAGTGCTGTCTGGTGCATAAAGTAAACCAATGGAAGAAAGAGAAAAATATGTTTTTCTTCTCATCTTCTAGTTATAGCACTCTTAGGGTATCACTTGTAACAGGTAAAAATTTGCAGAGTGAAGTCTGATTTTTTCAGTTGACTGTATCTTTTAAATTCTAAACGAATAATATTGTATTAAGGCTTTTTAAAGCCGTCTTACATTGAAGGCTAGTGGAGATTGCTGTTATATACTCATTTATGTATTTTATGGAAATGAACGGATTCGAATCTTTGATTTACAAATATTGCTATCCTATCGAAACAACTATTATTGTTACTCTCTTCCTCCCTCTCTCCCTTTTCCTTCTCTTTGTTTGTCACAATAATTAGTTGTATCCAGTCATAAATTAACCCTGATCCCACTAACATTTGTGTGTGTACATAACTTTACTCACACAAGTAATCAAATTTAAGTCAGTGGGATTCGTCACATGAGTAAAAAAGAAAAATAATGTGCAGGATCAGGGCCTGAGATTGTAGAGCAGGAACGTTGTCAATTTCGGAGTTTCCACAGCACCTACCGTAATGGGACCCAGATCGTGACTGACTACCATCATATAAAATAATACATTCTATTTTTGATATTGTATACACCCAGTGCTTATTGGGGGAGGGGGGAGACTGGCTTGATAGGCAGTCTGTAAGTTTCTTAACGGTTCAAACTGACAAAAATAAAATCTGCTGTATTTTGGAAAGCTAAGCTGGGTAATCATTATGAGTGAAGTCTGAGCTGGGAGAGCTATATGAATCTGGTTATATCAGCTCTTCTATGCTGTACTCACATTTGCCTTAGCTGTGTGTATTCAGGAAGTCCTGAATCCTGTCAGCAAGGGGTTAAGGAAAGTGGCAACTCAGTGACCAGAAAAAAAAAGCATCATCTGGAAACAGGAATTGGAAAACAAAACTATCTTTTCCTGGGACCTCGTATTGTCTAGTGAATAAGTTTCTTTCTACCCTTGTACTGACTAGCTGAATGTACCCTATTTAGATGTTTAAGTAATTAAATAAGATAATAGTAAAACACTGCAAAGGAGCAAGAAATTTCCTCGTTTAACAATACTCATGAATCATAGAGTCTAATTGGAGAGACAGGAAGTATTTCACATAAATAACTCCTCCCCTCCTTCCTCCTCTGTTTTGCAAACGCTGATCTTCAGAGGAGGAGCCGGGGGATGCTAATGAGCTGAATTACCAAGCGAGGCGCTGGCAGGAACTTCATTACCCTTCTTTGCCTTAGTATCTTGGCAAATTATGCTGCTACTCGCACCATGAACTGGCTGTCCGCTTCCCCGGGAGTCGTTTTAACAGCATACCATCCCAGCGGCAACAATGCCGTGGCCGGGAGTAATGCGAAAGAGAGCGAAGAAACGGTCCCCTCAAGGTAAGGTAGAGTGCTCGGGAAACTTCACCTGCTCAGGGAGAACAGCCAGGCAGAGGCAGTCTGAGCTGAGAGAAACGCCGCTGCTGCTACCATGCAACCTGTTGACGCAGGAATGCTGTCCCAGGGTTCACTACAAAGGCTCGGGGGTGCAGTCTGTAGGCTACAGATCAGAGGAGAAAGTTTGGAAAACGTCAGAAGTTGCTCTCTGCAATGAGGTGCAGGGTATGGGCTGGAGAATTAACAACGTCTGAAACAGGTGCATTTGCAGAGACAGCACATGAGCTCCCACAGGTTGGGAGTCTTTAATGCCTTTCGTGTACAGCAGGTAGAAACACTTTCTGCCAGCAAAATTACTATTCTTAACTGGTAAACACTATCTGTGAAGAGTCAAGCAGCAAAGAACTCCCCCCAGTCATTGGGCTTACCTGATCTTTGCTTTTGGAGGGGGGTGGGGGGGTGCTGCCCTTTCACTTGGGGTGGGCGTGGAAGAGAGACAGTTATGCACAATCCATGCTTGTGTGTATTTTTATATATATATATATAATTACCGTTCATAAGAACAAGTTTTTGACTCAAACAAAACATCTCCTCACTGGCGCAAGGTGATGTGGTTACATAGAGGGAGAGAAAGGAACATGTATTCCATAGATTACTGAGGTGCAGATAGGCTCTGTGTACTTTGTTCTTTTTTTCCCTCCTGATTTTTTTTTTTTTTGGTTTAGATTACCTCTATACTTGGTGAATTGTTTCCTGCTTCAGTGTGTGTGCTGGACATAGTAAATATTCACAGCAGCGCAAGGCATTGAGTGGAAAACTTGCTTGTAAAATGAATGCTGTTATAACTCAGTTAGTACCTGCATGTGTATTACTTAAAAACACAGCAGCTGCAGTTCTTTGTGCACCTTTATCTAGGCCTGTAGTCTGATGAGCACTTCGCATGTCCAATTTCCATGGATGGTAGTGGGAGTTGTAGCACAACACATCTCAAGATCAGGCCCTTCAAGTTAAGCATTGTACAACTCTTCATGGGGCCTTTATGTATTGTTCTGCTCTGTTCTTTGTATGTGGTAAGTTAAAGGATGGTGCTGGTAAAGAGCAAAAAAAAAAAATCTTTCAATTTAGTATTTCCCCCTGCCATAAAAAAAAAGTAAAATTGGTGCATGGGAAAGGTGTCAGATTGACATGCAGACTGAATATCTCAGATTATTCCATAGAACAGGTTTAGCACAGGCAGCAGCATTGCAGACTTCTCCACATCGACCCCCATAAAGATCATCTGTAGAGAGATCACCAGTGGGAGTGAGGAGTACTGTCCTCATGGCTCATTCTGATCATTTACCATTTCTCTGCTGAGAGTGTCAACAAAAGTGCCAGCAGCAGTGGTGAGATTTATAATACGTAGACTATTGAGGGCCCCATTGAACTTGGAACTGTCTTACTATGTGCATGTTTAAGTACATGTGTTTGCCTCAAAGAGATTCCAGTCTAAATAGACAAGGCAAATAAAGGGTGGGAGGAAGGAAGTACTAGGATCCTGATTTTATAGATAACTGAGGAGAGGTGAAGTGACTTGCCCAGGGTCACACGGAGTCTGTGGCAGAGCCAGGACTTGACCTCAGAAATCTCAACTCCTTGTTGAGTGCTTTAACCACAAGACCATCCCTCTTTTCATTGTAGTGTTGCTAATTTCCCTATTAGGAGTTAGACTATCTGCACATTTTGTTTAGATCACCAGAACTGTTTAAGTTTGATATTGTTTGGGTTATTGAAAACCAACTGGTTTTATATAGACTAATGACTCCCACCACCCCTCTCTCCATATTAACTAACATCTGCTCCTCTGCTTTCATTCCATCGATATTCATGGGTATAAACATAGGACACTGCAAGGCTGGTGCACGCCTATAAACATGGAGCTCCATGGACACAGTAATGCAATCCTAGTCTTACTTCTGAATGTGTCTAAAGGTGCTAGAACTAGTGAAAGCAGAGACAAGGGTACTGAAAGCACCACACTAGAGAGCCGGGACTCAAAGGGAGGAAGTCGTGAAACCCCACTGCCATGTTGGGAGGGATCCTGATTTCTTATGTATTTTTAATGACATTTTTTTCTATGTTTAGCCCACTCTCTCATGTCATCAGAAGGACAGGATGAAAAATGTTATCCCACTCCCTAGAGAGAACTTTTGAAGGGGGAATGTTCTGCTAGAAGCTCTGCAACGGTGGGCTGGAAGTTTGGTGCCTTACACCTGCAGTTGTTTCAAATGCACAGAGGCCCAGGGCCTTTGCTCTGTTGCTTGGGAACCTCTTCCCCATGGCAACACAGCTAATTCAGGAGGAGCATTCCCACGTGGTCCCCACTAATTTGCAGCTGCCCCTGAATGCTCCCTTGAGTGGGAGGGTTCATTGTACAGAAGGAGTTACCACACAAGATAATTCTGATGGCATCAGCATTATTTTACATGGAGAAGCCACATGGGATTGAAGTGCAAAGGGGGGCATCTAATGTGATGAGCAGTCATTGCCTAGTGCTTTTACGTCTCTGCCCCCAGAGCCTGACTCCCAACCAGGCTTCTGTGGGATGGTGGAAATAAGGGGAACATGCTCTGGAGTTCTTGATCCCTCTTTCTAGTTTGACCCCAGTCTGAATGTACTTTATCTGGCTTTCCTCCAAGTGGATAGTCCAATCCTTAGTTTTGCAGTACTGTTTGCATGAGCTTAAGTGACATTAAGACATAGCAGTAGTACATTTCTTTGTTCACGCATAAGAAATCATTACAGTACAGCTTAGGCATCTGTCACTTTTTCAAAATATATATTGTGGATGTGTTTGGAGTTGAGGGTTCCCTACCATGCAAAGTATTTAGTCTAAGTGAGCAGACAGCTCAGACCAATACCAAAGCAAACTGTTTACCCAGGCTGCTAATAACTTCAGTTTTAGGAATTTGTTACTAAATCTAGGGGAATGTGGAATGAAAAATGTGTCCACCTCCTGCCTTTGAAAAATCCTGGTACAAGAGCTGCTCAGCAAATCAGTGCATGTAGGAATAATGGTAGTTTGCCCTACCATAACACCTTTCTCCTGAGGATCTCAAAGTGCATTACAAACATTAGATACTAGTCATATTGATACCAAAAGAATCATACTGTATTCTCTTATCAATGGTTGGTTATGCTGTCTGCTGCTCATTGTGGACTTTGGGTGAAATGCCCGCTTATGCAAAATGCCAGCTACAAAATATGTGTACCACTTTCTATCCCACTTACACCCTCTTTTGTGGGCTTCATGCGATGTGTTGGCCTTCTGCACAGGGGTGACTCACCTTTTAGGACACCACATTACATACACATGCTGGGAGTCACTTATACATGTTAAAATCATATAGCACAAGCTGTGTAGGGGTTACATGTGGATAATTATGAAGTTATACTTACGCAACTGTAATTACATACCCTAACTTCTACATCATACAGGCAGAGACTGGTGGCTATTTCATTAAACTATCTGGGCATAATTTGGTTTAACTTTTTAAAGAGTTATGGGTCTCTCCTACTCACTGTTCATTTGATCCAGATTTTCACACCCTTGGCATATTGAATACTGCCTTGCTATGGAAGTATCCCCACTGGCATCAGTGTTGTGTATTAAGGTACTATTCAGCGTGAGTGAGGCTTTCAGATAATGTGTCCATATATGGATTTATGAGGTATGTGCTAAATGGCCAGGCAAAAACTCTTTGCAAGTCATACCTTTGCTTGCTGAAAAGCTGTGTGACAGCTTTGTCCTCAATGCTGCTTCTAATTAGAGCTGGTTGGGAAAGTTCCCAACGGAAAATGACCTTTTCACAAAATTCAAAATTTTCCAAGGAAAAATTTCAATTTTGGGAGGAAAAACTGATTTTTCCATCAGGAAAATATAAAAAGGGGTTGCTGACTGCCTGAAAGCCTTTTTCAATTTCACTTTCTGCCTGCAGGGAATTGGCAAGAGCCTTCCAGGAGGAGGACCAGCAGCCAAAAAAATTTCTGCTCTTCTTTCAAATGGAATTTTTCTGAAAATCCTGTCCTGTGGAAAAAATTCATACATTTTCCCCCCCTTCAAAAAGAAAAAAAAATTTCGGAGAGGCATTTCCATTTTCTGGCCAGCTCCACTCAGCATTGCCAGGTTGTGTAGGAATGCGCCACAGTTATGCAGGAAACATCCAAATAAATGAAACTGAGATCTTCTGTAGAATTTGATGCCCTATTTACAGCTTCTGCTTTGTTCTGCAATATGCATGTACCAGCTCAGTGCTCCAGATAGTGTAACTTTAGTCCCAGTTAGAAAGTCACTTATTTGGCTTTACTTTGAGTCCAAAAAACTTTCAGTCTTTAACTTAGCAGCCACCTATCGTAAATATTCCTCTTACTTACTAATATTTTTATCACTATTAAATTAACAGTATGACTCAGCAAGTGGCTAAATGATTTGGTCCATTCTCCACTGGGACACTGCTTATACAGTCACAATCTCAAGTGATGACTATCCTATCCAAAGCATTCTTGCTGGAATCATTCTCCTGGAGCATTTAAATTTAATTAAGTTGTGTTCTGACACATCCTCCCTGCTAGTATTTCAAATAGATAGTCAGCCCTTGGAAACCTACTTGCAACCTACTGGCCTACTTGCAAAAGTGTAACCTTAAGGTTTCTGCTCATCTAAGGAATCCTCCTTTCAAAATCAGTAATACTGAAGCAGTATGCTACTGTGCTCCAGAAATCATATCCATGCAAAAATAGCCAAGTTAGTTCACTCTGTGTTCTGCAGACATATGAGAATTCTTCCTTTACAAAACTTAGATCAAAGCCATGCTGATGGATGAAAGATGTAAACCTGTTCTAAGCTGGTCCTTGGGGAAAAAAAAAAATCATGCTATGTCTTTCACATATCTCCTCTAGAACAGGCTTACAGGAGTATGGTTTTAGGAGGCAATAATGTAGAATAGGCTTCTGTGTGGTGGCTT